TTGTGCTTACCTAATTTTTGGAACCATATACATAATATATATATATATATATAAAATATAAAAATATTAAAAATATTAAAAGAATATATATATATATATTATTTTCTTCCAATATATATATTAGTGAGAAGAGTATTTCAAAATGCCCAAGAAATTTCTGAAAATCAAATATACAAAATTAAAAAATTTATCAGTATGTTTTTTATTAATGAAGGCCTTATTGGTAAAGAAAATTTAATTTGAGGATTAAAAATCAAAATTGAATATTTACAGATTCAATTCAAATTTTACAAGGTTTAATTGAATTTATTGAGGAATTAATTGCAAGAAAAAATTATTTTTGAAGTCAATTTAGAATTTAATTGGAAGAAATTAAAGTTTGGAGGCCGATTTGTAATTTTTTAGAGTTAATTTGATCAAATCAGAGACTTAATTACATAAATATTAAAGTTTGATGGGCAATTAAGAATTTAATTAAAAAAATTCAAAATCAAAGACTATATTAAAAAAACATGTAAATATAAAACTTGAAATTGATCAGATTAAGGGCTTATAATAAGCACCTACATATTAGTTATAGGTGTCCCTTACACCTCATCTTATGAAAATAAATGCTTACTTTTTAAAATTTTAAAAAAAATAATATGTATCAGTCTTAACAACTTTAATAAATATTCAATATTTAAGAAAGTATGGACCATAAATATTTTAGAAATAATACTTTAATGCAATAAGAATTTTATTATTATAACAATATTATAATTTCTTTTGTAAAGAATCTTTGTCCAAATGAACTTTATATGTACTCTAAATTTATGATGTTATATTTGGTTTTAAGAATCTGTTGCAGAAAATGCACAAGAAACTTGAGCTCATGAAAGCCATTCTCAATGATTATGAAAACCATAAGAGCAACATGAAAACTGACGCATAGATAAATACATAACTTGGATTTCCGAAGTTCTGAAATTACCGTTCTTAATATATTTTGAAATTCAATAATTCGTAAAATTATTTTGAAAATAACTTATAAACTGTTCTGAAAGAGTGCATTTCTAATCTGAAGATTATTAAATATCTTGAATTTTGGATTGTGGGTTTGTGATGTATTAAATAAAAAAGTTGTTAATGCAAGATTATCTATTTGTTCTTAGATTCAAATATTATCTCCTATAAAAATAAATATCACCAACTAATATAACTAATCCATTAACAAGTGCCATGAGAACTACACCTTAATTAGCCAGAGCCATTAATTGATTAATAAATCAAGTTCAATTTAAGACTTTAATTGTTCTCATTCTTATTGGAATAAATAGAAGATAGTATTTAATATAATTAGCTGATTCCATTTATTTTCTTTCTATCATTTTTATTCTCTCTTTCTTTGTTTTCTCATTTCCCTTTTCTCTTTCTTCTTTGTGATTTATTTCTGTCGGAGTCAGGGGCAATTTAAAGGAAGAAAATACATATAGTAAAGAAAGTAAAGGCATTACTCTACGTAGAAGCAATTACTTTAGTTACTTTCCAAAAGAAGTCTTCCTCTTTTCTTGCTATCCAGTAGCTTATCAGTCCTGAGTTCCCCACCTTGACGTTGTGGAATCATTTCTTTCATTTGTTGATTACTTCTGGAAGACAAAAATAACAAAGTATTTGAAGACAACAAAGCATTATATTGCTATATATAGGTTTAGCATCTCACTTTTGATTAGTTTACCATTGTTTTCTGTCACAAGCTAGCTTCTGTTTTCTTTTTTTTTTACCATTGTTTTCTGTCACAAGCTAGCTTGTGTTTTCTTTCTTTTTTTCTTTTTTTTTCGCTACATAGACGGATGGCTTGCTCAACGCGACTTTTAGCTGAAACAGTATCCACGAGTCCAACTGATGGCTTCCAATGATGGGGAAAAAGGGGCATTTTACACATGGAGTGAGGTGGCTTTTTTTCCTGTTCAGATATGTTTTTTTAATTGTGTTTATATAGAGGCACACTAAGGATATGAAATCGGGGCAAAGCACATTAGTGAGGTGGAGTTGAATCAAAACAAATGGATTCTGAATTGTCAGCAGTACTAGTTATTAGACTTCTCTTCTTCAACTTTCTTCTTCTCTGGCAACTTGGCAATGGGATTAAAGTCAATAATGGCACTACAAACATTAAAGCTAATGGTGATAACACTACAATTGGTGCCCTTACAGATGCTGAAGGTACAAATTAATCGATCTCTTTTTTTTTCAAAGATGTTTGATTGAATATGTATTTAATTAATTGTTTTCCACAACTTAGCCCCAACAAAACTTTAATGATGCAGGACGTGGTTAAACCATGGAGATAGAAGATCAAAGAATTTCTAACGAATAAATTGATTAAGAAACGAAACCTATCATAATAAACAGAATATAGTGTTTACACACACACACACGCGAAGAAACCCTATTAACCCAGACCAGCTAGGAATGGAAATGCTAATAAATATTATTACTTTGATTTCTTTTTATATAGTATGAAAAAAAAAGGTTATGCATATGCAATATTGCTGGGGTCTAATGATTCAATCCATCACTTTTAACTTTATTAGTTAACATTTCTTGTGCAAATTACAGATCTTGGTCATTCTAACCCATATATGTATCATGTATGTTTATAGTTAGGTCCATTGAGTCTTTTTATCTTGAACATGGGAAGATCTTAGTCGGATGTGATAAAAAGAGTTTTTTGTGTTCAAACCTTGGTCAGCACGTACTCTTCGACTCCTTTTCAAGAGTTTGCAGTCCAAGAACACAACGCAGTCCCCCCTATCGTATCCGATTTGTTCTACCAACATGGATGCCGAGATTCGATGTTCTTGTGACAGCACCAAAAGCCGATCAGCTTGTTGGGTCACTGCAATGTATGTACAGAGCTAAAGAAACGGAAACGATGAAGATTGCATGAAACCTGCTTAAAATTAATCCTTTCTATCTGAATCACTTCAATTTCTTTTGCAGAAACCTGGCAAGCAAAATGTTGGATGGGTTTATTCACTCTTCATTAAGTCTCTTTAAAAACTTGAGAGTACTGTAAGTACGATTACTCCATCTCACATTTCAGTATTCCCATATTGGACTACTGTATTATATGCTGTGCCTGTTAAGCTAAACACCTGTAATAATCTTTCTGGTGGAATTGCTTCCACGCTAGGGAATTCACGGAGTCTCATAAAATTGCATGTTAAGGCTATAATTAGCGGTTCTATATGTATAAATGATGGCATAGCTTTGCTTATTTCTAATGGTACAATGACTTTGTGCAAAAATCAGGGACCTTTCAAGCAATTTCTTAACTGGGTCTATACCTCCTAGCCTGACAACGTTGCAGAGTCTGAGAATTCTGTAAGTCTTACATAGTTTTGCTTCCAGTTGAATTTGGGTTTAATTAATTTTCTCCGTTTCTGCATTAACCTTTTTCGACGAGTTTGTCTCTTTTATCATGTTTGTTTTAGACTTATGAGTTTCTTGCTTGGATGCGATTTGATTGCGGCTTCAACTCTAAGTTCATGTTTCTCAAATTTCTGGATTGCCAATGATATGTTCGAATGAAGAATTGTCTAAGCTGAACCTCTCCCTTGTCCATTTCTACTGCTAGTTGTTTTTTGCTAGTTCATACGCAATTCACTAGTTTGTTTCAAAGGAGCTGTATCCTATTCTTTGATTTGGAAGATTAACTCTCTTTCTTTTGTCTCTGGCCCTCTCTAGATAACATGAATTCTCTTGCCAAAAAAAAAAAATTCTTCTTGAAAAAAAATGTAAAATTTTGCTCCATCAATACGAGCCTTTGCTAACTGGTCTTGCCAGTCAAGATGGATAATAAGAAATCGCTAGCAGTTATGAAGTAGGAGGAGATGACACCGTTGGTACAAATATAGTAGTTTATCTAGTGATTATAATGGGTGGAGTTTTCATTTAATGTAGAAAAGCTGTGCCAATAGACATATGATTGTATCCATTGGAATTAACTGAGAGTCGTTTTCTTCTGGTGTGGTAATTTCACCTGAACAGCAATCTTGCAGACAACAATCTTGATGGTACCATCCCTTTGAATCTGTCAGGTTTACAATCGCTGCGCTATTTGTAAGTCAGTTATAATCATTATTGTATATATGCTACCTCTTGTTTAATACCTCTGGTCTTGGTTACATAAATTTACGCATCTTCTTTCGGAAAATGTGTTAAAAATCAGGGATCTTTCAAGGAATAAATTGACTGGACCTATACCAGACAGCATAAGTGATTGTCAATACTTGAACATCATGTAAGTCTTTCTCCTTAAAAACACGATGATTTAGAATTCTGGGCCATAGCAGAACATCTTCTACTACTTTTTTTCCTTTTTTGTGTTATCTTTACTTTCTTTTGTTTATGGTATTTTTTTTTCTTTTTCAGAAGCCTTTTTTCACTGTTATGAACATATGTCAATCAATCAATAAGCCTGTTTTACCTTTCAGATTTAGGAAAGTGGGATACGTCATGTCTAAAAAACGGATAAGAGAAATCTATTATTTAACAAAAAATAGTTTATGATAATTAAATTTATCATAAAATTAAAATGTTTAAAATTAAAAGTCCAACTATAATCTTTGCGTACTTGTTCATGCTTTCTAATGTCCAAAAATTCAAAACTCAAAACAAGTGGTATAGAGCTATAAACGTCTCTCTTTCTACAACTATATTTCTTGCATTCTGGATTGGAATATTCTTTCTCACCCGTTTATCTTCTGTAATTCATTACCCTCCTTGTGCTGACAAGGGTACGAGGGTTGAAACTGCGTCTCCGAGCATTACAATCAGGTCCATGCTCCTTGTCCCATGCACAAATACTTTGGGACAGACAGTTTTTTATTTGTTATTGTCAAAAGTTCAACTTGAATTCATTAAGTCTGGATTTTACATGGTTGTGTTGATGTAGAAAGAAGGTAAATACAACAAAAAAATATAAAACATATAAATTTGATGAAGAGTTCTAAATGTAAACTCTAAACTTCCAGCTTTATTCTCTTTAAAAATAATAATGACTAATAAAGTTTGTTTCTATAGCAGGTTTACAAAATTTTAAATAGGCTATAAATTCTATCTCAACTAGAAAACAAAATAAAAATATAAAGAAAATAACCATATAATACAAAATAAAGTAGAAAATCTAAGAAAAACAAGGGAAATAACAAAATTGCCCAAGCTAGGGCACTGGGACGAGGTTTTTTTATATCTCAAGATCTGATGGTTTGCATAGCACCGCAAGGCTACTACAAGGAAAACAACCTCTAGAAACTCATTAAAAATTTAAGTCCAATCCAACGGTTATATCAAAAGTTATAGTATTTTTAAGCCATCATTCTGGTTTATAGCGATCAAACCTCCTCTTAGATCTAGACTAGTCCCAGTACATAAACATATCTACTAGGTTATCCATGTAAACTATATGGGGTAGATCATTATCTAGTTATGGCAAATCCACACTTGATTTCTCATAATCACTTGTTAAGCTCGGCATCATGCATCCTGGATTGGTAATTGGTATTCATTCCATCCAAACAAGTCCTCTATTGGTATAGGCAACCCTTTGATGCTTAAGTTAGTGAATGTAGAAGGAGTGTGTGTGTGTAAGCAAAAACATAACATCTATTAAAAGATGCTTAAGTTAGTGAATGTAGAAGGAGTTTGTGTGTGTGTAAGCAAAAACATAACAACATCTATTAAAGAACATCTATTAAAAGTGAATATAAACAAAAATATGCAGACACGATGACAATAGATATCAAAAATCACTAGATTTGTGATATCATAAACCCATAAAGACATTTAAAACTAAGCACATCACAACATGTAAAAGGAGTGTGTGTGTAAAGAGAGATGGTGTGACCATGATTTTGTTTCTATGTATAGTTAAGTTTGTGTATGCAACATGGTTTGGGCCAATATTGGTCTCTTGAAGATTTATATGTCAGTTTACCTTGTGAAGAGTGAAAATAATTGGTGTGTCATTGGTAAAGAAATTGATGCTTATCATTAGTAGTGGTACTTGTTGTATCATTGACTTCTAAGTTGGTGATGATAAATGAGAGAGAGAGAGGAGAAAAAAACCTAGTCATTCAAGTCAGATGCAAACAACGAGGATTACTAAATGTTTGGGCCTAGCCCTAATGCTTAGGGAGTCTAGGCTTTTGGGCTTGACTTCAATGGCTAAAAAATCTAGCATTTTAGGTCAAATCTAAATGGGTATAAGCTTTGGCCATTTAGTAGAGTTTTTTCCTAGCAAGTGTATTGCTAGTGAGCTATAAATTGTCTTTAGATGACAAGTGTGACACATTATCATCTCATACAATGACCTTTGTTAATACTATAGATTAGTCTTATTGAAATCTTTGTAATGGTGTTGGGGTTGTTATAATCAGAGCTCTAATGTGTTTATCATGTCCTATTTTTTCCTCTCTTTTCTTTTTTCTGCTTGGAATTTCATGCTACCTATTTCTCCTTTTCTTTCTTCCATCATTGGATTTTATTGTATCTTATTTAGCCATTGGATCATAAAACTTTTTTCTTGTTAACCATGTTTACACGTAAATATTTTGGGAGAGATGCATTTTTAAAGGATGATGTAGCCAAGGTTGAGAAAACTAGTGATTCTGAACAATCAAGAATGAATCTGCCACAACTAGATGATGATCTATCCCAAAAAAATTATATGGATAGCCTAGTAGATATTTTTATGGATAAGTGAAATAGGTTAAGGCTCAAAAGGATATCTGATCGCTCTAAACCAGAATGATGATTTAAATGGCCATAACTTTTGATTTAATCGTTGGATCGAGCTCAAATTTTTATAAAAGTTTTTTAAGGTTATTTTTTCAATTGTAGCCCTTTATTTCTACAAGAACCATCAAATTTTAGATATAGAAAATCTCGCTTTGGGGCCCTAACTTGGTATTTTCCTTGTATTTTTTTTAATTCCTTAGTTTATTTTGGGTTTTATGATTATTTCCTTTGTATTTTCAGATTTTTATTTGTTTTCTAGTTGAGGTAGGGTTTTAGAGCTATTTAAGGTTTTGTAAACTTCTTTAGGAGGCAAACTTTATCAATATTATTTTTAGAGAGAATAAAGCTGTGAATTTAAATGTTCACATCTGCAGCCCTTTTCGCTCATCAAATACCTATGTTATGTGTTTGTTTATTATCTTTACTATAGTGATCAGACCTAGTCCAGGGGTTGACTTGGCTAGAAAGCCTAGTATCGGGTCATACAACTTGACCGGAGAAAATTTTAAAAAAAATATTTGAGGTTTTAATATTTGATATGAAAAAAATTAAGAAAAAATCCATATGAATATAGACTAAAAGATTATTTCAAAAAAAAATTTTATCCCATATTGGAAAAATAATATCTTATCCTTTTAAGTTGAAATATTTAAATTAAAAA